CAAGTTTCCCACCCACCCACCCATCTGTGCTGCATAAAACTATACCTCCCTTACACGTGCATGGTAATTTTCAAATTCTTGCTGTCAACAAATGCAGCTGGGGCTATTTTCTATAAGAGACTACACTGTATGCATCATTGCATTGGAGGGACTCATGTTCATTGAGCGACAGTTCCGCTCAAACAGTAGCCTACAATCAAGTGACTGTTGCTGTAAATAAGCACATAAACAAATGCATAATAACTGTAATGAATGCTTTGCTTTTGAAAATAAATAAACGTATGATTAAGTAATGATGTAGAAGTTTAAATAAACAGATGAGTAATTTCCCTCCCTGTCTCCCTTTAGCACCTGGTGGTCACAACACCCTGCTTCTTACTTGGGAAAAACCCACCTGACTTTACACACTGTAACTTTTGAATTCTTGCTGGCCACAATTGCAGCTGAGCCTTCTGTCTCCTTGAGTTTCATCTATGAATCTGAATCCATGTTTCTTCTCTGAAGCCTCCATCCATGCATGACTCCATAAAAAAAACCCAAGCAAAGCATCCCCATGCTGAGGTGGGCATGGTCACCCACCCCCCATTAGCCATGCATGCCAATTCTGCCTATCAAGGAAAACATGACACATATATAGACCAAATTAAAAACAAAAACAAAAACCCAGGAGAGGGCGCTGCCTGCTTGTCTCCCTCCCTCTGGCTGTCTAGCCACGCAGTCCTCCATCCATGCTTCCCTCCCTTCCTGCCTCCCTCCCTAAATTTGTGGCTGGCCAAAATTTAAAAAGTTACTATATGTAATGGAGATTAGCCGTAGGCCATAGGTGTGGGCTATGGGATTTCACCTGACTTAGCCAACCAGTTGAGTCGGGCGAAATCCAGTGGGGAAAAGCATTCAGGGCCCTTTGGGCCTAAAGCCCCCCCCTGTCACACACCCACCCATTTTCTGTCAGGGAACATTCCCTCTGGCTCTCCACCCACACAGCCCTCCAACCATGCATCACTCCCTCCCTGCCTCCCTCCCCAAACTTTGTGGCCAGCCAAAATTCGAAAGTTACTATATGTAAAGGAGATTAACCCTAGGCAGGCCCTAGGTGTCAGCTATGGGATTCTGCCCAACTCAGTGGGATTTCACCTGACTCAGCTGGCTGACTGAGAAAACCTTCCTGGGCGGGGGGGGCATGCCTGGGGCCTTACACACTACCCCCTGAGTCACCCAACCAAATCCACTCATCCGTCTGCCCTTGGACTATTCTTCATGTTTCTGAAATGGTATGTGTAGTTCAGGAAGGTTTTCAATTTTGAAGCAAGTCATGTAACCCCTCCAATGTTTCAAACTACTTGAAAAAACCTTACCATTCAGGTGATGCTGCTGATGCTCCAGCTGTCTTCAGGAAAACTTACTGGCCCCTTTAGGACCATGCCTGGGGCCTTATCCCCTGTCCCAAGAGACCCAGCCATCCCAACCTCCGTGATTACCTCCCTAAGCTTTATGGCCAGCAAAATTTTGAAAGTTGCTATATGTAAGGGATAATGCATAGTAGGTAGGCCCGTACCTGGCCCTTATCCCCCCAGCCCAAAAGACTCAGTCACCACTCATTCCCTCCATCCCTCCATACATGCACACGCGCGCACACACACACACTGTTAAACAGCAACAGTCACTTGATAGTAGTAATACAGGGGAATATTTACTGAGGGAACTATCAAGGGAGTATTAAAGGGATGGTTTGAGCATACTGAACTGGTCCAGTTACTATTTTTCCAAAGTCCATTTGCTGGCAATTGCTGTAATGTCTTCAGAAAAGAATGTAGTCACCACTTGAATACCAATGGCGTTGTTGATTAAAATAAAATTGTGTACACTTTTTAAGCTGTATTGTGATTTTATTGAATTTACTGTGAAAAAAAATAAAGATGAAGAGGATGGATTGTCTTTAGAAGAGCTACTGCTGAGCCATGACTAGCCATCTGCTGGATAAGACTTCTGGCTTCTCTCATTAGGGAGCAGAGTGCTTTTTTAAACCCTGACCTTGGCTAATTGCCAGATCGCTGCTAGGGTGATTTTAATCAGACTTCCTGAGGTAGCTGATGAGGACATCCCAATACCCAGTGTAGAGCCCTGGCAAGACCTTTCCTGGGTTTTTTTTTCAAGAAAGCATTGGGAAAAAAAACATTTTTTGCATCGCACCTCCCATAATAGTCAGTACAGTCTGCAATGAATAAAGCTGTTTTAGAACTGTGGCAGCAGACATTAACCCATGCCCCAAGACACATCCTGCTCTGGAATCAATTTTTAATCCTCACTCTCACCCTTTTCCATTCTCTCTTCACCTCTTTCCCCCTCTTCAACTTTTCCCACCATCCTTGAACTTCCCCTTGCAAATGCACTAACTCCTTCTTTTCCCACCATGTCCACCTCCTCCCCACTCCATCAAACCACTCCCACATTAGCCCCTTAATTTCCACCTACCAGTCCCATCGTGTTGCAAAAAATGGCTGCATTTTGCCACTGCCAGTACACCCTTCGAAAGTCATTGCACTCTTGGACATCATCTAGTAGAGAAACATTCAATTTCCATTCCCCTTTCTCATGTTTAAGCCCCTCCCCAACTCCCACCTCCACCCACAACACACAATGATCCAAAAAGCTTATGTCTATCTGCTTTTCATTTGGTCTTAAATATTCTACACATTGGGCACTGACTGTGCATTAGCCAAATATTACTGGACAGTGTGCACCACAACACTAAAAGTGCTAATACACTACTGCCCAATAGTATTAGGCTACTGTGCAGTAGCATCACTTAAAAGACATTCACTGGAATTACTGTGCAGTAACTTGGGTTATTGCACATTTATTTAGTAGTTGCTTATACAAGTACTAAGTAAATGTGCAGTAACCACTGTGAAATAGCATCTCATGTAGCCACATTCATTCATGTTGAAATAGAATTACAATCTATGCAATTAAAAAGAAATGATTTGCACTACTGAATTAAGAAGAAAGTATAGGGGAAATTTTCAATAAACAAGTTATGACACAAGATACTGAACATTTTTACTATTTCCTCACCAGGTTACACAACATTTACTCTACAGATCATAATTTCATTTTTCTATCAAAGTCACTTTTCTGCTCCCCAGTTTTCTCATTGCATTTTTCACCTCCTCATTTCTGAGGGTGTAGATCAGCGGATTCAGCATGGGGGTGATAATGGTGTAGAACACAGCAATCATCTTATCCTCCGAGAAGGTGGCAGAAGGTCGTAAATAGATGAAGATACATGGCCCAAAAAATAAAATCACAACAGTGATGTGGGATGCACAGGTGGAAAGAGCTTTGGCCCGTCCTTCAGAAGAGTGAGTTCGCAAAGAGAGTAAGATGACAATGTAGGATATAAGTAGGAGAAAGAAACAACTCAGGGAAATCATCCCACTATTAGTAACAACCATGATGACAACTATGTAAGTGTCACTACAGGCTAGTTTCATCAAAGGGTGCACATCACAGAAATAGTGATCTATTTCACTGGGCCCACAGAAGGGGAGCTGAGCGGTCAGGAGAGTCTGTATCATGGAATGCACAAAGCCCCCAACCCATGACACTGCTACTAGGAAACTGCACACACTTCGTGTCATGATGGTCATGTAATGGAGAGGTTTACAGATTGCCACAAAGCGATCATATGCCATCATTGTGAGGAGGAAAATCTCAGTGCAGCCAAAGAAATGAAACCAGAACAACTGTGCCATACAACTCTTGAAGGATATAGTTTTCTTCTCAAAAAGGAAGTCTGCAATGAGTTTTGGGGCTGTGACAGAAGAATAGCATATATCCACCAAGGACAGGTAGCTCAGGAAGAAATACATTGGGGAGTTTAGGCTTTTACTGCTCTTTACAGTGACAATGATGAGGAGATTCCCGAGCATGATAATTGTGTAGAAGCATAGAAACAACAGAAAACACACATGTTCTAACTCTGGACTGAGTGCAAGTCCCAAGAGGATAAATTCTGTCACGTTATGTGCATGCTCCATCTAATCAGTGCTGTTGCTTGGTGTGTAACTCACCTGCCAGAATACAAAATAAGGACAGAAAAATGAACAGATATGGCGAATGAGATAGATACTAATGTGGAACGAGACAAAAAGATCTTGATAAAAAAGGTCAATATTAAAGGCAAGGAACTATGATAGTTTATTTTCAAGTCAATGAGAATTTTTTTTTTTTAATGCATAAGTTATTCTTCTTTGAAGCAGTAGGGTAAATTAAATGTTATTTTCAGACAAATGTGCATTAGAATAAGTTATATATATGAAAGTTGCTATTTAGTTCTCAGGCTCCAGATGCGGCAATGTATTGACATGTGTCATCTGGTTTGTTAGCATTTTTGTAGACCCTGGTATTGAAACTGATGGTGCCAGTATCAGAGTTTACACTGTAGGACTCATGAAGTGAATTTTTCTTAATTACACTTACTTTCCAATTCACACCTGTGCACACCTGTTTACTGGGTACACTTACGGTTTATTGGGCTGTGAGTTTATTGAGCCTGGGCTGTCAGATATGATGTTAACTTCAAGAAATCAGCTTGTCTTACCTATCATATCGCAATGGGCTGTCATGGACCCTGTTACATTTCCTTTGTTCTGAAGTCAGGGTTCATCAGCTGAAATTGGTAACATTTACAGTATTAATTTTAAAGTTTAGGAAAGGGGACAAAACTGACCCCAGGAATTAATTGACTAATCAGTCTCTTTGGATTGAATCCTATTTCAGTATTTGCACATATGTAGCTGCAACTCTTGGTAGCCAGATTATATCACTGATAACTGCTTTGCCCTTTCTTGTTGCCTTTATAAATACTGATCCTCCACAGTGGAGATATTTTGTAGTCTCATATCTGAAATCAGTTTTTTACTTCATCAACCAAAGTCAGATCATTGGCAAACGCTATTCTAGTTTCTGGGGTGCATTGTCATTTGGGAGCTGTCTTTAGCCATGTTTTCTCAGGTCGGGATAGCACAAAAGTGACATCACAGATAGGTTTCCTCAGAAACATATTGCATTACACTTACAGTTTAACACCTTTCCTTTTTATCTGTTACATAAGTAATCTTATAAGTGGTCATTTTAGATGGAGAACATCTAGCTTATTTCCCAACTAAATTTTTGGTGGATAAGTGTCAGTTCTTCATTGCCCAAATTACATGGTTTTTGGTGTACCAGATACTTCTGGGCTTGTTGTACACGCTAAAAGACTTTAGGTCCTAGACATTCCCGGTTATAAATTACCAGAAAACTTTTTTTTTTAATGAAAGGCAAATGTTGAATAAATAAATGAAGGACAGCAGTAGCTTTGAATGATTCATGCTTCCCCCCATATGCCAACCTATGGGATAAACCCAAAAGGAGATAGAGAAGAAAGCTAAATCCTGAGCAAGCACTGCTTCTTTTCTTTTGTACTTAAGGAGAAATTATTTCCACCAAATATTAAAGTTCTTAGTCTTTGCCCCAAAATAGTACCTCAGATGGAAACTGGGATGGAAACTCAGATGGAAATTGATGTCTTTGCTGCCATAAATTATAAAAAAGAAACTTTGAAAGAGGATGGTTGGGCTTCCAAATTGTTCCTCATCTGCTTTTTAGGAAAGATTTTGGAGACTTGGCTATATTGCTCAGTGCTTTTACACAAAATATTAGCTCTGTATCCAGGGCACAGTGCCTTCTCCATTAACTTAACTTCTCTCAGACTGACCCAGCTAGGATTATGCACAAACACGTGAAATCATAATTAACTGAAAGGCCCATGTAATTGGACATTTGCAACATTTTCCTTATAGTATGGTCTCCACTGAGCTTCTCTGAAACCCTATGAATAGTTATAAGCATCCTGACATTTTGCACAGCAGTATTTTAAGAGGGGTTTTATAGATCCCCTCTTTCTCAACTGTGCAATGGACATATTTGGAAGGGAGGTGGCCCTGGGTGAGGAAACATTGTTTTTGCCTAGACGGTTGGTGTGAAGATAGTTTGCCAAACTGCATATTTTTGTTTTGTTTTCTTTCTTTGTAACCTGTACTGTCATTATGGAATAGAGAAGTAAACAGTTATCAACAGTTCAGACTCTGATGACCTTGCCTACATCAAATCAAAAGCTACACCACTTGGACAATTCAACACTGAGCAAGTTAAGTCCCCTCTCCAACCCACTCAGCCCCAGCCTATGGCAGAGCCACAAAAGTCAGGAGTACTTCCAGACTACACTCCCACAGTTTTAACTCAAGTTATAATGAGGAGCTTTATCAGCTCTGTAAGTCCAGGGTCAGCTCTTTGTGTCTTGACCAAGAGACAGATAACATGTTTATTTAGTGAAAACTTCTTTGTAACTCTAATGTCTGGTTGGCTTCAAAAACAAGAAAAAAAGTATATCAAAGAAAGGTGCTTTATGATACAAATAAAGTAATAAATTCCTAATAATCCCTATTCCATTATTATTATTATTATTATTATTATTATTATTATACCAAGGGATTATTATTATTATTGTACCAAGGGTAAGAAACTACAGCTCATCTTTAGTTTATATTTTATAGGGTATTTTAGGTTTATATTTTTGCATTTCCAAATGTTTATTTCTTCTGTCACTGTGCATTGCTTTTAAAATATATTTATCTTTTTCATGCACCATGGTCTATGATCAGAATATAATATTAATAAAGGGTAATTAAATTTAAGATGATAGACACACAGACCAACATCTAACCTTTTACGTAGACATGTAATATAAACATTGATACTAAAATTACAGTAACTTAACTGATAAATACCATTATGAAGATTCTCAAAGAAAGAAGCTTGTAAACCAAGTAATCTACCATCTTTTAGTTAAATTAATTTCAGAATTATGGCTTGATGGATCGAATTAGACTGGATTGAACTCACTAAAAGTATTTTTTCTCTTGTTTATTTTGATAAAAATGGAGGGGATGACTAGTATAAGACACTCAACCCATCATGATGAAAAATATGCATAGATTGTATAAGCCAATCCTAATAGTTACCTGAGCATTGACAGGTTTTACATGTCTAGCTTCCCATTTCCTCCGATGTCAAAGGTGATCATCACTAAGTGCCTTCAGATTGAAGAAAACGTTTCACAAAAAAATTAAAAGCTCCCACCAATGTAGCTTTGCTTGTCCATAAATTGCATCCAAAAACAAGCCCTGCATTCAGATATCACTTGTTCTATCAAGATGTACAAGGACTGCATCAGTGAACTAATGGGGTGGTCTGGTTAAGTGAGTAGAGATCATATCAATTTTACTGATCTCTCAGATCAGAAGCCATATCTGCTTTATGAATGAAATCTTACTTAAGACTTTGCTTCCACCCATGACACTATGAAATCTCCCAAAAGGAACTTTGGGAAAAGTTCTGTCCCTCCTGGCTGTGAAGCTACAGTAGAAAGAGTTCAAGTCAATCGTGCTGTAGTAGTACATCACTTCCCTCAGTAATGAGATCCCAGAGGCATTACAAGCTTTCTCCACTGGAAACAGCTGATAGAGGATCAAACAAACTAAATTATTTTGGACATGTATGTGAAGTAAATCTGCAGTGCAGAGCTAATCCTGTCAGGTGTTTTTTTTTGGGGGGGGGAGGTTTAGGTGGGGGGGGGGTGTATGTTTTTTTTTTTTCCCCCCAGCCTCACACTTTTAGTTAGATATACATTTCCTGAGTTACTCACACTTTCATCAAAGGATAGCAGGGGAGGATTGAGAGCTTTTAGTCTGAAAAATATCTTGCTATTATCTGTTTCACTCTGTTGGCTCTCTCCTCCCTAACAAGAGGCTTCAGGCAATTCAGTGTTACCTTCCAAAATCTATTTCCCAATGATTAGGCAAAGAGGAAGTTGAAACATCTTGCAAGGGACCAATCAGAACTGCTATCTGTGAACTGATAGCTATGCAATACAAATATGATATTATCCAATATCCAGTGAACTCTTAAGTGCAGCTGGTGTAGCACCAAGGCATTGATTATTGGCATGTGGTGTTTAACTACATGATATCCACTAGAAATCATCATCTGTCTCAATTATATCATGGCAGGCCTGTGGCAGAAGGTGGGTAAGAGACGGACTTGTTCCCAGAGATGTCCTGACTGATGGAAGTGTTGACGAAATGTCTCCTGGATTGGCCACTGCAACCAACATTCCAAGGTTCAGAGTCTATTGCACCCGAAAGTCATCTAGGGATGTTGAGTGGTGTTGAAAGGAAAACAGAATCCTTTGGGGTGGGAAATATATAAGAGCTCTGTTAGTGCTGCAGCACTTTGCTTAGTACTGCAGGAATAGGATCACCATGGAGTGAATTTGTTACTCACTGGTAGGGGTGAATCCAGGATTTCCCAAAGTAGGGTGCAGGAGCAGCAACCCCCACTGCAGGGGTGGCTTCCTGCTGCCCTTATCCCCACCCCCAGCTGAACCCAGCCCCTGCAGCAGGCAGGAAAGGCTCTGGTAATTCTTTGCCTTCAAAAGAGCTGGGAGAGGCAGGCAGAGGAGGGTAAGTAGGAGCAGAGAAGGGTGGGAAGAGATAGGGATGGGTAATTTATTTAAGCATGGAGGGGAATGGAGACAGTATTTTATCCTGCTCTAGGAACTTAAAAAGTTCCTGCAGGTTCCCATAGTGCAATCCAATCCAAAAGCAGGGTGCAACAACACCACTGCACTCCCTCTGGATCTGCTCCTGCTCACTGGTGAATATGCTCCTAACTTTTTCAAGGCAAAAACTCAGAACTTATGGCTGCTTATTTTAAAGCAAGGTGCAGTAGATCATACATTTAACTATGCAGATTCATACTCATTTATTTGATTCATACGCCATCCTTCCCAACAAGGCTTGGAACCAATTACAATAATAGAACAACATAATTTATATGACAGGAGAAGGATAAAAAACTTAAATGGGAACTAGAATATCAACATAAAACAGACATCCCTTTAAAAGATCTCACCCTAAAATTGGTTGCTAAATATTTG